CGTGGCATGCGTCGGGAGAGGCGATCCCGATGTCGAGGGCCGTGAGCCCGTGCCCCAGCGCGCCCGTGAGCACGTCGGCGGGCCTCGACCGGGTGCCCGGGATGAGGTTCTGCGCCTCCAGCTCGGTGGCGGGGTCGCAGATCTTGGCAGCCTCGTACACCTGCCGCGCAAGGGCGTGGTGGCCCTTCGTGGACTCGGCTCTGCTGCAGCAGAGAGCGTGCGAGCCCGCGGAGTCGAGCAGCTCAGTGCCGCAAAGGTTGCAGGGGGTGGGTTCGCTGGGGCCGGCGGCGCCGAGGCGCAGGCGGAGTCCCTCCACGAAGTCCTGCTGGTCGAGGAGGGGCCCTTTGTGCCGGCTCAGAGCCCAGAGCCACTCGTGGTTGGTGTCGGGGTGGCCGAGGTCCTCCAGGCGGCGCAGCGCCGGGTTGTTGCCCGCCTGGGCGTGGCGCTCGCGAAGTTCCAGGCGCGCCCGCGTGTCGAGGCGGGCCAGGATGGCCCTCTGGAGGTGGGCGCGGCCGCGGGGGGCAGCGGCAGCCGGGTGCTCGTCGTCCTCGTCCTCGTCGAGGGGGACGATGCCGCTGCCCATGCGTTGGGGCCGGCCGTGCCGTCTGGGAGCGCCGTCGTTTGCGGGTGCGTCAGCGTCGAAGAGGCCGGCCCACCGATCCTCGCACAGGTCTGCCTCGTCTGCGAGGAAGTCAAGGAGCTGCCTTCCGGGGGTCGGAGGGAGGAGCCCCATCAGCGCGACCGCCGCCTCCTCCGTGCGCCTGTCGTAGGCCGCCATGACCGCGGCCGCGGTGCACAGGCCAGCCAGGGCGAGGTGCTCGGCCATCTCGCGGACGCGCGGGCGGGAGCTCACGCGGCTGGCGAGGAAAGCGGCCGTGGACACGCGCTCCGCGGTGCGGAGGCCGAGGCCGCCCCAGGAGACGCCGGTGGTGGCTTGTCCCCAAGCGTCGTCTGGTAGGTCGCCGCCAACGATGTTCTCCACTGCGGCACGCAGATCTCTGTCGAAGGTGGCGAGCCGGTCGTGGCCGATCCTGTCTCCGTCGAGGCGCAACTGGTAGGAAAGCTTCGACGCGTCGGCGCACAGGCGGGTCAGGACGAGCTCGGTGGGGGCGTGGTTGGCGGCGAGGAGGGCGAGGCGGGCGGCCCGGGCCTTCTCCACGACCGCTTTGACCTCGTCGTCAATCGCCTCTGCGCTGCCGAAGGGGGCGCCCAAGGCGAGCGCGGGGCCCCGTGGGTCGAGGACGTTGCAGGTGGCGCGCACGTAGTCGGTGTCCCAGCCGTCGTGGAGGTGGCGCTGCTCTTGCGGGCAGAGCAGGCGGCAGGAGCTTTTCGCCGTGCCCTCGGCGACAGAGCCGCGGGTGCCGCCGAAGCGGGCGAGGCTGGCGTCCAGTGCCCTGAGCCAGGGGTCAAGGTCTGCTGGCCGGACGAATACCTGCCCGTCGTCCACGTACCACTCCTCGCACGCCCGCAGGCCGGCGGCGGCGGGGGCGGCCGCGTCGGCGGCGCCTCCCGGGGCTGGCGCGGCAGCGGCAGGGGCAGCGGCGGGCGCCTGGGCAGGCGGGCCTGGGGCGGCAGCAGGGGGCGCCGGGCCGGGGGCGGCAGGGGGCCGACCCGGGTCGGCGGCAGCGGGCGCCCCGGCGAGCGCGGGCGCGGCGGCGGCGACGGCGGGCGCGCGCGGCCGCGAGAGTGAGCCCAGCCTGGACGGTGCCAAATCCGTCGCCCTGCTCGGCCCCGCGGTCAGTTTCGAAGAGTTCGCCAGAAGGCAGCTCGGTGGTGGAGGGCTCGCGGTGGTGCCAGTTCGTCCAGGCGGCGATCTCCGGGAAAACGCCCGGGTCAATCGCGCCGCGCATAGAGTCCCACTCCACGGAGCCGAACATGTTGACCAAGTCGACGTCGAGGGCGACTAGAGCGGGGATGGCCCCAGCGGCGGCCAGCTCCTCCACGGTGCCGCGCCAGTGCGCCATCGCCTCACAAGCGCCAGGAACGCCAACACCCCACTGGTGGGCCTGCCGGAACACGGCCCGCAGCTTGTGCAAGTGTTTCTTGGTGTAGCGTTTGGCGAAGGAGCTGCGGAGGACTTCTCCCATCTTGATGGGGCGTGGCTTCCCGTTCCGCTTTTTCTGCCACACGAGGCGGGTCCGGACGATCCACCGCATGGACGCGTGGAGGGCGCCGTCGCGCATGGCAGCGTGGAGGCGGTTCAGCGCACGGCGCAAGCTGGCGGCCTCGCGGCGGCGCGGCACGGAGAAGAGTTCCTTGAGGTGCTCTGGTCGCGTGCCCGTAGGGCCCGGAGCAGTCAGCTTCGACCACCGGACGCCGTCGAGAGGGTTGTCCTTAGTGCCGTCCTGGTCGTTGTCGTCGTCGTCGTGGTTGCCGTCGCGCGCGGCCAGCGCGGCTGGGTCGCCGGGAAGGCCGTCCGCAGCCGGGGGGGGCGGCGCAGGGGCGCCAGCGGCCCCGGGCGGGGCGGCCTGCGGGTCGGGCGGCACGCCCGGGGGCCCTGGCTGGGCGGCGGCAGCGAGGGCGCGGTCCGGGCGGTCGGTCCGAGGGAGAAGCTGGCGGGCGTAGCGGAGGTCCTCCTCGGCGCTGGTCTGCAGGGTGTCGCTCATGAGGGTGAGGACGGCCTTGCGGAAAGCCCCCTCGGCGGCGAGGTGCTTCGCGCGCCGCTGCTTGCCCTCGGAGTCGACGGTGTCCCCACGTCGCCGACGCTTGGTCCTGTTGGCTAGGACCCGCTGCTGCTCCAGGCGGTCCAACAGAGCGGCAAAGTCTCCAGACTCCCAGAGCCCCAGGCGCAGGGCGACTTCTTCGGGGGCTGGCGAACCCTCGGGGATGGGCCCAAGCAGGAGCTTGGAGCGCGCCTCCTCCAGCTGTGACCACTCGCGGGCGCCGTCGGCGCAGCGGTTCCAGCATTGCCGGGTGGCAGAGAGGAGACGGGAGCGGCAGCTGAGGGGCACGTGGACACAGGTGTTGTGGCTCAGGGCGCGGACACGGCTCGTGAAGTCGAGCGGCAAGGCGGGTGTCCCGACCACAGGGCCGTCATCAAGAGCAACGGCGTCGTCGGCGGGTTGCGCGGCATCTGGGGCAGCTGCGGCGTCATCGCGGCCTTGTGCGCGGTGCGCTGCAGTCGCGGCGCCCGTGATGATGTCGCCGACGACGGGAGGGCGGCAGAGCGTCGGCTGCCGGCAGCGGGTGCATGTGCGTTGGCCAAGTGGCCGGAGGCCGCCGCAGGTGGAGTCGGCGCAAACGCTGCGCTGGAGGGCGACGACCGTGTCCCGCATGTTGGCGTCCATGGCCTGGCCAGTGTGCGTCGCCGTGAGGTGCCGCACGAAACCACCAGGCGTGCGAAAGCCACGGTCTGGGCACCATGGGCACCAGTAGTGCCCGTTGCGGAAGGGCACGTGCGGGGCAGCGTGTGGGTCGGGAGGCTGCGGCGGTGCTTCTCCGGCGCGCTCGGGCACAGCGGAAGCCCGCGCTGCGGCGCGCGCCTGGGCGAAGGCGGGAGCCGCGCCGCGGGCCGGCCGGCCGCCGGCCACAGCAGCAGGCGGCGGTGGTGGGCGGGCAGCGGCGGCGGCAGGCCCTGGGCCTGGTAGGCGCGAGTCGCCGGCGGGGGCCGCAGCTCGCGGGCACCTGCACCAGGTGGCAGCGGAGCGGCACGTCGGGCAGACAGCCTCGTCGTCGTTGACCCCTGGCTGTTGGGCGCCGGCATCGGCCTCCATCCGCGCAGGGGCGGCGCTGGCGCTCGAAGACGCCGCACCGGTGGCAGCGGCGGCGGGGGGAGGCGGCCCTTGCGCGGCAGAGCCCCGTGCCTCCGCTAAGACAGCGGCGCGGCGGGACTCCTCGAGGGGGACGCCGGCGTCGATCTCCATGTTACGCCCTGTGTCCACGGCCAACTCGCCCATGCGGAGCTCGAGGATCGGTTCGTCGCCCTCCGTGCGGTTCCGCCGGAGTCGACGTCCAGGCGAGCCGCGGGACCCCGTGCTCTCGCCAACTTCGACGAAAGGGTTGCGCACTGTGACGCGGGCTGGATGCTGCCCTTCATCGCGTGACGGGGGGAGCGCGGCTGGTTGATGCCTGCGCGGGCTCCTGCTCGTGGGCGCCTCCGCGGGGAAAGCAGGCGTGAAGACGGCCCTCGCGGTGATGATGGCCTGCCCACAAACTGCCACCCAGGAGGGCGGGGCGCCATACCACACGGGGCTGAGAAGGCAGGTCGCCCAGAGCGTGACCGTGATGCAGACAAGCCTCGTGAAGTGCAACCGCCCCGCCAGGGCCGCGGAGCATGCGCCCGCCAGAGCACGTTGCACGGGGAGACCGTGCACAGCGGCTCCAAAGGACAGGATGTGCAGAGGTGTGGGGGCGACGCCTGCCACCAGAAGCACGAGGAGTGGGAAGGAGGGCCAAGAGAGCACGGGGCCCAGGATGGTGTGCAGCGTCTGCGTGAGGATGGCGTGAAACAGCATCTGGCACCCGATGGCGAGCATGGTGACGAATCTGTCGGGTAGCATGCGTACGAGCTGCTGGATCGGGTCAGTCGGAGACGGAGAACAAGGGCTCGAAGACGTGCAGCACGCTGATGATGCTGTGGCTGCACAGCTGCGGGCGTGGTGGAGGTAGAAGAGCTCGGCGGGCCCCACCAGGTGCGTGGGCGGATGAGCAGGGAGAGCCCGTCCGCCGATGGCAACATTGGCAACTCTCCAGGCCCGCGCTGCCCCGTCTTCTCGTGCAGAGGTTGCCGGACTCATGCCGTTTTGGTCTTGGACCGTTTCCGGGCCCTTGTGGGCGCCTCAAAGGCTATCTTGGGACGATCGTAGGAGCCGTTTGGGCTGTTTTGTGCTGTTCTTGGCCCGAAAAGGCGAGCACCAGAAAACCTTACAACAAACATTGAATTAGCCTGGCGAAGGACCCAACCATATGCAGCTGCGAGTGCCGCACGGATATGAGACGAAGGGAGGGGGGACGCAAACTAGGCCCCTCTTCTCCTCCTCGCCCGGCCCGACCGCCGAGGCCTCCGCGCCCGCGGCGCCCGCGGCGCCCAGGCGCTCGCGCAGCTCCTCGCGCAGCTCCTCGCGCAGCTGCTCGCGCAGGGCGCGGGCCTCCCCGGCCGAGGCGAGCCGCTCCCGCAGGAGGGCCTCGGCCGCCTCCTCCTCGGAGGGGGGCCAGGGCCGGGGGGGGCGAGACGAAGCTCTCGCCATCGCTCGGACGTCCATTCCCTGCGCTTTTCCGGTTTCGTGCGTGGCTTTTTCGCCAAGGGATCAAGGATGCTCCTCGATGGTCCCCACCGACGGAAAAATGCACACGTCCGAGCGATGCGGGCAGCCAGGACGAGGATACCTCCCGGGGGAGGACGGATCGAGCATCTCTGAGGTGCCGCGGTTCTGCAGGATGCCTCGGGCGCCGCGGCCCTCCCAGAGCGTTCCGGGACGCTCTGGAACGAAGCTGTCCCCGTCCCAGCCCCGTCCGACCACTGCAGGGGAGGGCCAGCTCAGGGAACACCGACGAATAATCGGTGATAGGCCACCGAGACCGGGATCCCGAAGTTCCTGGGCAGGGGGCATGGTGGGGCTGTCGGCTCCTATCGCCGATGAATGAGCGACTGGGGGTCGATGCATCTCCCACTGAGCCTATCCCCCCTAAGCTTGCCCCTGCTCCTTCCCGGAATGGGAAGAAAGAACGCGCAGATGCCCTGACTCTCCACCTTTCAGACCTTCCGACCAGCAGGTGGCTGATTCAGTGATGTCCCGAGGTACGAAAAACTGCACAAACAGAAACTGCTGGACCTCCGCGCGGATATCTTGGACCGGCGCCGGGCCCCCCTAACGTCGCCTCTGGCGCCGCCCCCGGCGCGCTCAGCGTGCCAGGGAGTGGGTCCAGAACAGATCCAAGCAATCCGCACGAAGCTCCGAAAGTCCATTAATTACATCATTTTCTGCCCCTCGAGAAGATCACAACGTCTGTCACCTGCTGGTCGGAGGGTGGGAAAGGTAGAGGGTCAGTATGTCCAACAGGGAGAATCAGGACGCTCAACAGAAGAGGGTGCCATGGCGAGTGGCTCCAGCCCCCAGTTCAGTTGGCACTGGCTAGGACCTGCCCGCCCGAACGGAGCCCCTTTCGTGAGAGGATTAGGCCAAATGGGCATGCGACGACTTCGACGAGCGTGGGGAAGAAGGGGCGCTGCCCGAGTCCAGGATCGGAGCAAAGTCGAATCGGGATGAATCGAGGATCTCGACTACTCGGCGATTGCGGAGGAAGTACCAGGCCCCGCGGTCGTTCCAGAGTGTTCCAGATTTGAGTGGGAACGTTGGAGGAGGAGGAGGAGGATGATCGAGGATCGACGTTTCTGAGGTTTCGGGGGCCTCACTGAGCAGACACCTGGGGCGTCCTCGTGGCTACGGCTGCATCAGCCTCAAGATTCTGGACAAAAAGCATCCCGGGAGAGCTAAAAGGCCCCAGGGGGGAAAGACATTTGAGAAACGATGGATCGACGACAGGCAGCGCCGAGCAAGCAAGGCCGAGCGACGCCAAGCGATGGCAAGCGATGCCAAACAATGAAAGTGAACTTTTTAGGGAAACGAAAACCCTAATTGGGGTCGCGCCGGGTTCACCTACAGTAGGGGCCCGACCACAAGAAACCTTCCACAAGAAACCAACCCCTGAGACCTCTGGGCGTCCATGGATGTTTGGTGTGGGAACGGCAAGCTTCCAATCGCAAAACCATCGAAACCAAAGAAACCCAGGGCACCCTGGAGGCAAGCAGGGTACTTCTTGGTATGGGCCTCCACTGTATACTCGAGGATCGACGAGGGGTGTGCTTTGGGCCTTTCTGGGCCTCCTGCGGTCCCCTCCTCGGCACGGCTGGATCCGCCTCTAAGTCCATGCCAGAACGCACCTCGGGACACATCTGAGGACCGTGCAGGAGCAAGATGACGACGACCCCCACGACCACCACGACAGCCACGACGAAGACGATGACGAGGGAGCACAGTAGGGGGGCATCGAGCTCAGGGGAGAGAAACATCGAGCTTGAATCGGCGATGCCATCGCCGATAGATCGGTGAGAGGCCCCCGATAGCGAAACCGCACAGTCCTCGGCGGAGCCTTCGGATGGCCACGGCTGGGTCCGCCTCGAAGCTCTGGTCAGAACGCGCCCCGGGACGGCGGCGGCGATGGACCCAAATCTCCGACTACGTGATCCTCTCAATGCGGGCATCTTACCTGACTTCGGCCTGGGCCGGGGCAACCCCAAAACAGACCTGGGCGCAGGAGAGGAGCGCGGCCAGGTCGTCAACGCAGGTTGGGCAGGGCGCACCGCTGGCCAGTGCCACGACAGAGACGAGACGATCGGTCGTAGGCCAGGGGCCGCGCGAGCGGGGAGGCGGTCCCCCACCCCCACGCCTGCCTACCTGAGCAAGCTCCTGACGGGACCTCAGTAGGCACCGTTCGCAAACTGCCCCCTGGGTAAGCGCACAGAGAATCAGGGGACGAACAACGGCATGAACATAAACTCGGAGGTCCGCGCGGAGTTCTTGGATCTGCGCTGGGCCCCCCCCTCTGGCGCGCGGAGCGCGCCAAGGGCGGCGCCGGAGGCGCCGCCAGGAAACACCAGCGCCGATCCGAAAAATCCACGCGGACCTCCGAATTACTATGTTTATGTCATTGTTCGTTCCCCTCAGCATGGGGACAAACAGACATCGGCGGAACGCACAGCTTCCAGGGGCTGCCCGAAGTGATCCAAGATGATCCAAGATGTCGGGCACGAAGAACGGTATACAATATATTGTTCCGACGGCGGGAAAGTTTATGTTATACCAGTTGATGCTCTTCCACAAGGTGGGCCGCGGTCCTCCGGGAGCCCCCCGGGCGTCGCATGGGACGCACAGAAACATACTAGTGCTAAATGTTATCCTTGGAGGCGCGCGTCCGACCCGAACATATAGTATACCCATATTGTAATATATCCTTTCCCGAGCGCTGTGGCCAGAAAGCGCCCGCCGCGACACATATACTATAAGATTTCTCGGTGCGGGCGTCGCCCCTTGGGGGGCGACGCACATCGGAGGTTGGGGGGTGAGATCGCAGTGGGACGGAGACCCCCAGACTAGAAATCGTTTCGTTTCGTTCGTGTCGTGAGTGCGGGCGAGGCGAAGCTGCGTGGGCGCGCGAGAGGAATGAACCCGCCGTTGCTAGGAGGGGGGTTTCACGTGTCGGGCCCTCGGAGGCGATACTCGTTCGACACTTCGCCAGCGAGTCGGGCAGGCACTGCTTCGGTACTTCTCTGGGTGCTCCAAATTATTTCTAGAATGCGGTCCGCAAGAGCGATGGGAACAACGTACATCTGGAGTAGAGAGGCAGATCCATCGAAATCGGATGTCTTGTCGGGGCTCGACGCATGGAATCTGTCCCCAGCAGCGCCCGGTCCTTGCCCCTCGCCATGACGGCCCTGACCTCTTGCAGGCACCTGCCGAGCCAGTGCTCGCGCTCGTCGCTCAGGATGCGCTCGAACTCCTCGGTCGCCATGGGCGCCCGCGCCTTCTGGACGAAACCGGGCTGGCCCACCCCCGTCCGGTCAGGCTGGGCCTGCGCAGGGGTGGTCGCGGCGTCCTCAGATGAGCGACGAAAAAAAATAAGTCTCACGCGTGCAGCTTACGCGCGAATGCTCGCACAGTCGAACCCGTTTTTGCGTCGCTCAGGTGTCTCCAACGATGGGATGCTTTCAGCCCTGGGGTTTGATCCTCGATCAAGGGCGGCAAGGCCCAGAGCCCACAACGACGGATCCGCGGGACGAAAAACTCCCCCGGGAAGCGGTCGGGTCCCCTGGGGCCGAAGATGACGAGGAGCATAACGACCCCAATCCCAGACTTTGTGGGGTCTTCGATTGGACGCAAAATCTGGGGCCCAACTCGGAGATATACGATGGAAGGGCGTCCATGCTCGATAATTAGGGATGCGCCCGAATGGCCCCACGGAGCGCATCCCAGAGTCTCCCCCTTGTTCTGAACGGTCCAACTGTTCAGGCGGACCTCGGGGACGTTGGGCGTCCCAAAACCGTGTGGTGGTCAGCTTTTTCTAACTCGGCGTTTCGACACTGGGAGAAAGGGGGGGAGGGGCGGGGGTCTGGATCCGGACCTCTGCTTAGTGCGACTTGTTTGCAGCAGTGCGTCCTGTGGGGGGAGACTCCATCTGCTCGGAACGGGCGCCCAAAACAGCCAGGATCTAATTACTCCAGGGGGGGAGTGGGGGGCAGGGAGGGGTTGCAAGGGACGGCGCCGATCGGGAAAACAATTAAGAAAAAACGATCACGTGACGGACCGCGTGGTGACCTCGGAATCCCCAGCGACCTCGCCGCGAGGCCCGTCGCCGCACGGATTCGAGGGCCCTGGAGGCCCCGTCGCCGCTCGACACAAATCCTCGGATAACGACTCGAGACCCAAAAAACCGCACGGTCACCCCGAATGCCCGCTGGCTCACCACGCCGTTTGGGGGGCCTCCGAGATGAGGGGAGGGGAATCGTCTGCAAGCGGATTGACAAAAAACGCATCGGCGCATGTCAGGGTCCTCCACCTCCAGGAGCGCCAGCCTGCCCGCTGGGCCGCTGTCGGGCAGCGCGGCGGCCATGGTCTCTCGTGAACGGTCTCTGGCGGGGGCTGCTGATCGGTGGTGGCCTGCGCGCTTACTGGCGCAGCGGCTGGTGCACAGGGCGCGAGTCTGAACTCGGAGCAGCGGCTGGAGCAAAGGAGTGCCAGTAACACGCTGACGAAACCCAAGGCCCGTATAAAGGGGGGGCGAGCCACCCGGCACGGGCAGTTCGGAACCTGGGCACGGACCACCTCAAGCAGGCAGGATCAGTCACCATCGGATCGGGAAAACGGATCGAATCGGAAAGATTGTTGCCGCTTCGGCACGGAGCCAAAGTCGAAACAGACTGGCCACGGCTGGATGCACACAAGCGCCACGCAAGCGCCGGGCCGCATCGGACCGCCTCAACATCCGAATCGAGTCGGGAAAGGCCGGCTGGAAACGATATATGGTACCGGATCGATCGGACCGAAGTGGCCCCTTGTCCTGGGACATCTTTGGCAACCACAGATGCTGTGGGCAGGGTATCTGGGCGAGGCGCGGCCAATGCCTCGGGGGCCGTCGAGATGTTCCCACACCCGACCGCGCCAGGGAGAAAGGGGCCGAAGAGGAGGGCCAGGAGGAAGGGCTGATGTCCTGCAGAAACTGTTCCCAACCCCCCTGCATTCGCTTCTCGCTTTGACCAGAGCACTGCGGTCGCTCCTCCTCCTCCTCCTCCTCCTCGCCCTCGCCCTCCTCCTCCTCCTCCTCCTCCTCCTCGCGCGTGGCCGAGGCGGACACGCAGGTTCACGTTCAGCGGCGCCAAGCTCGGCGCAACTGCCACCTTACTGTAGGAACAGCCTGAGCAGCACGCTCGGGCCTGACTGGAGCACCGCTGTTGATGCTCCTTATTTGATGATAAAGCAGCGTCGCTGCGGCGGGCACAAGAAGGGACCCAGGCGATGGATTGGCAAGACCGAGACGGGAGATGGGGGAAGCAGGGAGAGGAGGACAGGAGAACTCAACGAGGACCGAGGAGAGAAGAGCGAGACAATATGGACAAGACCAGACATGCTCGAGAGAATCTGAGGGGCCATGGCAACACATGCATGGCTCTATCTGCTGAGGGAAGGGCATGGGCTTCCGCGAGCGCTATCGGGAGCCAGCTTGACAGTCTGACGGAAAAGGTCACCTCTAGAGTATCATGATACATGTGTGAAGTTATACATTGATATAACAAGCTCTGCACTCGGGTCTTACGAGTGGGGTCGGATTCAGCTAGGATCGAGCGGACGTGGGAGAGGGCAGGGGCAGCGGCAGCAGCAAGTCGGAGGCGAAGGGAAGGAGACGAGGTAGTGAGAGAGGTCCCGATCTGCTGCGGGAATCCTGACGCGGCAGACTGCAGAAACTCAGCAAAGGATGGCTGGAGCCAGAACCTAGGCGACAGCCTCTGGAGCGCTAACTCAGGAAGGGCCAAGGACCGATCAGCGGCAGCACTGAGAAGGGGAATAAGTGAACTCCAAACAGTGAAGTGCACGGTAGCAGCTCTCATGAGGGCAGCCGCATTCTGGGCAACTACGCTGGGGATCTTAGGGCCCCCCCAATGCAAAAGCTGAAACCATCCCTCTCGAGGCAGAGCGCAGAAAGGGGTGTGATAGAATGTGGCCAAAAGGACCGATTCTTTGTGCCTAATCGATTCTGGCATGGGCATAAATTGGGAGACATAGGAGAGGACGGAGGCAACACGGACAGGATAGAGGTAAGAGATCACCCTCAGAGGAGCTCCTGCGTCGGCCAGCTCGAGGATACGAGCTCTCCATTTCGCGACTGGTGAACGCCAGCTGTGTTCTAGAGCTGCAGGTCCAAGCCACATGCGCAGGTACTTCAGAACTGCTTCAATTGGAATAGAAGACCATTCAGGAACCAAAAGAGAAATCGCCTGTTGATAGTCAGCACGCAGTGCAGGGGTATGTGGTCCACTCAGGGGGACAATCACGCATTTCTTCAATTTGAGCACCAGCGCTGCTACCCGTCTCGCAGTAGAGAAGATACGATGCATGACTCGAAGGTGTTCAAGGCGCCTTAATGCTGCTCCCACATCATCTGCACAGGCTCTGACAACACCACGATCTTTGCGGCAGATGGATGCGTCGAAGTTGGACATGAAGGGATCCGCCGCCAAGGCGAAGATGCACCCGGAGCTCGGGCAGCCCTGGATGATCCCACTGCTGATCCAAAACAAGAGTGCGAGGTCTGTGCCCATCGCGCCGTAGCAGCACACGCCCGAGAAGAGAAACTCAGTGAATGTGACCAGGGGCGGCGGCAGCAGCATCGCATTGAGGACTTTGAGAACCCAGCTGTGCGCTAAGCTGGGGAAGGCCTGACCGAAATCGTATCCCACTAAGAGAGGCATGGCTACTGAGGCGTCGTCTCGCATGGAATATATACGTCCATAAGCATCCAACTCGATAATGTTGGTGCCGAAATTTCTGGAGGACACGAAGCCTCGTTGGATATGATTAACAACTCGATGCAGAGATTGCTTTAGTCGACGATATGCTACACCTGTTACTATCTTGTTGTCCGTATTTTTGAGGCCCAGGGGTCGAAGGTCGTGGGGATGCCTGAGAACTCTATGAGGGGTATCTTCGGGCTCTTCACCTTTGGGCACGAATACACCTAGCAGCATGTTATATCCCAGAGGCATGGGGTTCCCTTCCAATTGCCACCAAAGAACATCATAGAGAACTTGAACTCCTAATTCCGAGGCCTGCCAAGCGCCATAAGGGAGAGCATCTGGTCCTGGACCCGAATGTGTTTGCCTACGCATGTAGCTCCGCACGTCATGGTACCTGGGAGGAGGGAGGTCCTGAAGGTCGGAGGTGTTCTTGTAGCGAGAGAGGCATACGTCAGCCGCGGTGCCCTCGATGGCCTCGGGGGAGAACACGGAGCCCCAGTGCCTGGATATCGCCTGAGAGATTCGAGAAGGGGATGTTAGTATTTCTGAATCCACGCGTAGTCCCACAAGTCGCACAGACTTGTCAAATGGAGCCCACAGCCTACTGCGCTCTGCGAGTAGGCGAAGCCGCTTGCGCACTTTGGCCTGCGCCTGCAAACCAGTGCTCTGCAGCCGTTCCCGACCCCGACGCTGCTCTTCTTCAGCGTCTGCGAATTGGAGGGCATCAAGTGCTTCAGCAAAAGACGCGGGCCTGCACAGAGAGTTGCGACGAGTACCTTCATCGACCGATAAGTGTTCACGAGCAAGATCGCAGCGAAGAAGACGACGGGCGAGACCGAGATCTTGTCTCCAAACTGCTCGAGCGACCGAACGAAGTATGATCATCTGACTCTCGGGGTTCGTCGGATCATGCGTGAACATGGCATTACGAGCATATCGAGCTGCCTCTCGCATCACCTCTTTGCACAAGCGCAGACGGACAGGAGGCGAGCACAGAGAGAGATCCAGCCTTCCCCATAGGTCTTCCAAGAAACGTTGAAAGTCAGGATGTTTGAACACCGACTTTGGGATAGGCTGGGACTGACGAGGCTGAGGAGGGCGATGCTGCCGAACAACTTGGAGCGGGGCGTGATCAGATATGCCTCGCTGCTCCAATGTCTCAGGAAGGTCTCGCACCTTCGCCGAGACGTGCATCTGCGCGAGTAGCCAACTAGGAGCGGCTAGAAACACCCTGTCTTTCCGAGACGCGTGCTGTAGGTGCCCATTGTAGTGCGTGTTATCGTCCGAGGAGATCTCCAGAAGCTGCTGCAATATGGGAGACCAGGGGGACCTTCTATCTCTGCGCCATTGTGCGAGGGCTCGATGGGCATCCAGATTCTCAGGGGGAACTGCAGACCTAGGTGCTTCAGCCGCTAGATTGAAATCACCTGCCAAGACGACGTAGTAACGATCAGGACGGCGACGAGCTATATCTATGTGATGCTGTATGATATTCCTTGTACGTGTAATCTGACGAGCTGTAAGTCCGTGATTGTGTATATTGAAGTGCATGATGTACATGTGCTCTGTGTCGTTCTGGCAGGTGCCTAAGTCCAGCTCAGTTAGTAAGATACGCCCAGGAACGATAACCTCAGAAGAAACTCTAGCGCCAGAGCCAGCCCACATCGAAAACTGCGGGAAAAAGGTGACGACGCCTCCTCTCCTCCTCGTGTCCTGGAAGAACGATGCTGTGAACCCAAACTTAGCATTCGACATGTGAATGAAATCCAAAACGTCATCAAGGCTGCCGTGCGACTCTTGAGTCGCGACAATGTTGAAACCTTTTAGGAGCTGG